AAGAACTTCTGTTCTGAATAATGAAAGAATTCAAAGCATAAAACTACACAGAGAACCTGTTAAGAATCCAACTCGGACACTTTCAGAGGTATTCATATTCCCTCCACTGGCTACAAAAGGGGCCTAGAAAATTAAATTTAACCCAGGCATCTCATTTACTATGTGTATGGTTAGGTCACGTGAATACCCATTTCATTTTTGGTTTAAGATTATCTTATTCTGGTTTATTATTAACCTGTTGCAAATTTATAGACTATTATATTTTTTTATTCGGTTATACTGAGAGGTCAGAACTTCATCAACTTAGGTACTACATAACCAGTTTGTATGAGACTTCATGTGGATTTTTACTCCACTTTAAACAAATCAACTCGAACAAAAATACATATTTATTTCAATGGGTATAACTCTGCACACAGATACTGTAAAAAACATCTATTCACAATCTAAAAGTAGTAATTTTTTTACTGCATGAAAACTGCTTCCAGACAGGAACCAACAGTGCCACCATCTGGTCATCTGGTCAATTTCTTCTTTTTTTTTTTTTTTTAATTGATGGGAGCAGATCCTGTCCAGCATACATGATCAATTTTGTAATTTGGTCTTTAAGTCATATTTAATCCAGTCTAATTTTAAAAAAGGGGTTAAACATTTGTACAACTGGCAGAATTTACGCAATCTGTCCTTGGACAGAACTGTTCATGGAGTCAAATCTTTATTCAACATTAAAGTTTCAAGTCTATTATCCTAAATTACTACACAAAGACATATTTACTTCTAAATAAGAGCATCCACGTGGGAAATAGTGCAAGTTACCTTCCTGTTTGGACGAGTTGTTTTTAAACACTCATACAGTATCCAGCACACATTTTGTCCCTGCTAGAAGCTTCCAGACACTCCAGGTGGATATCCCACCCCACATTACTTCTCTTATCCAACCTCATTCCATGAGATCACTGTCAAGAAATGGCATTTCCAAAGTAGCGGCCTTAAAAGAAAGGACTATCGTTTGGCTGCACATACCACATTCTGTCCCACTAGAGTAGGGGCAAGTCGTTTTCTCTTGTTATGTGAAAACATGTAATCCATTTTTTCAGGGGTGCGAGGATTTCCTCTCTGCATACTTGCAGAATGGCTCATCTGTGATACCACTCGTTCAGCCAGCACTGATAAGCCTTCACTTCCTGGAAAAGCGGAGAGAAAGCAAAGTACATCAGCAGGTTTCTGTTACTGAAATAAACATTTGACTAGAAAAACACACACAGTCACCCACTTCTTCATTTCAAATCACTTGGTTACTTGAGATTTGTTTGCTACCATATTATTAAACATTTATTAACCCAATTTCTTTAAATTTGAATATAGGAGACTGAAATTAACATTCTTCCTTCGAAACTCTCACCAGCCTCCATTTCCATTTGCCTTGCTCTTCACTGTTGATGTTCAATTCCCACCTCCACATTCAACTATATTAAGTTACAGAACTCAAAACATCTACAAAACCAACAAACTGAAATTCAGGCAATGCACTCACAATACAATAAACGGTTCCCACTATCTGTATTTGCTCACTCCTCACCTGTCCCTTCCCCACCCTTCTTAGAAGGTTTTTTTTTTTTTTCTCTCCTCTCCTATAGTTTTGTCACTGAATGACTGTGCAATGGAAAAGATCTGGTCCTGGTCTCTTCTCTGAGGAGCTAACAGTGTAGATCCAGGATTCCCAAACTTGAGTTATTCACAACCGGTATGCAACATGCCCCTGCCTCTTAACTACGCACGGCCCAGCACACAGAAGGCATCACTCACTGCTACATCCAAGTAACATCCAAGCAACATTTGGATCTACATCTATCATCTAGGTGAAAAAACAAAAACAGACAAACAAAACCCCCAAATCCCTCATCAAACAACATCTGATAAAATTTAATTGACATGTATAACTGCAAACAAACTCAAACTGGAATACATCTAGTTTTAATGACTCTGCAGCCTTTAGTGGACTAAATGTTTCCATAATTAACTGGAAGAAAAAAAATATATATATAAAAAAAAATATATATATATACACACCGCTGTATCTTGAATGAGACTGCCAATCTCATTTTATCCTCAACAAACAGCTAAGCTGTAGAGTTAGACCATCAGTACATTGCAAATTGATTCTGAAGGGACAGAAAGAGAACTAAAACCAAGCATGTGAGAGAGGGCGGTTGATGCATGCTCCCGTCCTGGCCAACAGAATTTTATTTGCTTATGACAGATAAGTGCAATTCTATAGCACCCCTTCCCTTTTCTTTAATATTTTACCTGTCATCCTCCATTTATGTTCTGACTTCATCCTGTGCTCTTCAAGGCACAGATTCTTCTCTTAAGAGCACGTGCATTGCTTAGTACATAACATAGTACGAATGCATGGCTTTAATGCTACCACTTTAAGTTTGTCACAGGAACACAGGGAAGGGGAAAGCTTGGAGAAGGTACCATTGCCATTCCTTAAAAGCATGACAAACCTCGCTATTTTAGCTTACGCAGTCTAAAAACAGTTTTTACAGTTCCTTTGTTAGAGATTGTCAATATTAGTTTAAACTGTTGTCGCTCTTCCCTCCTAACTCTTTTGAAGTCCACGCCCTTGCCAGAACACACCTTTTGAAGGCTGTTAAAGGATTTTCACAGGTATCACAAAGGGCATATTTCTATTGCTAAACCTGCTGGTCCATCGTTTACAGGTTTCTACCTCAAACTTTAAGGAAAGAACTATGGCAGCTCTTTAAAAAAAGAAACAAAAAAACCCACACTCCTCACAAAGAGCAACAGTACAAGAGAAGATGTTAAAAGACAAAGAAGGCTTAATAAGCTACACAAAACCTTGGAAGAATTCAAAGAAACAAGGAGAAAAACTTAACTAGCATAAAAGGCAGCACCAAGTCTCCACCATTCTATCTGCTGGGAAGGCTTTTTGGAGCTTAGGACAAGTTGAGGTAATATGTTGGGGGACTTTTGTGGATGCTTACAGGAAGTTCCTCCAAGTAAAAGGGGCAGCATGAGAAGTAGTACAAAGGTGTTTACTACTTTTGCAAAATAATGGAACTAATTTCATGGCCTGCCTGGAAGAAAGGAGGAACATCTCAGAAGTGAACGAGGAGAACAACAATCCAACGGATGGGGACCAACTGTAAGAACCCAGAAGCAAAGACAAGAGCTCGCGTTTTACATACTAGAGGTAATGTCTGAGACAGGACAGAAAAATGGTAATGTGTTCAATACCATAAACCTAAGAGATCTTTCTTTCTTTCTTTGCAGGATATATTCCTATAGGTATTTCTTGATAAGTCAAGAGTGCATTTGCCAGTATCATTTGCAAAACACAAAGCCTTTTCAATGACTCAGATACAAGTGATGAGAGCTTGGACAAGAGCTGTAGCAGAACTGGGGGATGCTGCACAGAAAACGTGCAGTAGCTAGGTTACTGTGGTTGATGTCATTTGTGATCACAACCAATAACTGAATAATAATAAGAACAAACTGCTTAGTATCTGCTCTTTTGAGTGAAGATTACGAGATTGACCTACCCCTTCCCTTCCCACCTAACTCTGGAGACTACTTCCTTTCCCAGCTAGCCCCTCCTATCTCTCCTTGCGATACATATCTAGCTGGTGCTCATCTAGGCACCCTGGAACTAGAGTCCAGGATTTAGTGGCACTCTGCGGGACACACATCGATACAGGCAAGAAAGCATGCTGAAGGCAGAAGGGGTGCAGGGCAGCAGGATTAGTGCCCAGGCACAGCAAACTCCCTCAGACTTGAAGTACTTTGAGGCCAAAGCAGAATACCACATCACCTGAAGAAACATGAGGTAGTTGGTTCAACTCCATTTTAAACTTATTTAACATAACCATAATGAGTTTATCATCTGCCTTTTACACCCAGATGTGAGGGCCTGAAGAGAAACACTAGCTAAACTGTTGCCCAGTTTTAGGGCATGAATGGATAAGTAAAAGGCATAATGGTAACATTTACAGCGTGAGGGAGAAAAAGACACAGATCTGCATCTCAGTGATGCTGAGCTTGCCCTGTCAGCTATGTATCTGTAGGCAAGAGACTGGTCTACAAGAGATCAGCCTAAGACGGTGGTTGAATAAAAACAAGCTGAGAACTTTTCTCTTCGAATAGTTAAGTTCAACAGTTACACACAAGATAAAAATATGTTGGGCTTTGGCTGTGCATCTCTACCATATAATAAGTAGACAATACTCAATGCTAGCAGTCTATAACAGAAACTGTAAAACAAGTTCAAAAAAAAGAGATCACACCCACTCTCTGCTGATAATGAAACAGTTATTTATTACCTGAAACCTAGGCAAGTAACTGTCTATGACAGTTTCCTGGTTGGATTTTTTTTTTTTTTTTAAATAAACAGAGACAAAGAACAGAGCATACCATCCAAACCATCTTGCTTCTCCTCCCCTCAAATTTGTTTTCAAACATAAGCATACAAAAAAATTAGAATACGCTCTACTGGCAAGTAAAAGACACAGGCGACGTAAAGTTTTCAGAAGCACCTAATGACAGAAAACAGAGATGTGACTTGACTCTCCTGGAGAGAAATACGGATCAGAACCTCTGTAAAGTCACCTGGTTGAATAACGAGATCATAAATACTATCATTTAACTACAGACATTTTCCTTGCTAACTTGGTAATGCTGCTGCTGGACTTAACTAAATGCTCATAATAGATACGATTCCGTTCAATTCACTGTATTTTTTAGCATCCAAGATTAAAGTCTCTCAGAAGTCTTACATAATTC